CTCTGTCGCCCAGGCAGTGGCATGATCTTGGCTCACCGCAACCTCCACCTCCCAGGTTTTCAAGCAATTCTCCTGCCTCAGCTTCCCGAGCAGCTGGGATTATACGCATGTGGCACCACGCCTGGCTAATGTTTATATTTTTAGTAGAGGTGGGGTTTCACCATGTTGGTCAGGCTGGTCTCAATCGCCTGACCTCGTGACACCTATGTCTCGGCCCCCCAAAGGGCAGAGATTACAGGATTGAGCCATGGCGCCCACCCTCAAATGGATTACACTAATCAAGTGTTCCTCTGCTTCCTGCAAACTTTTGATTAGTTCCTAAAAAGTGGATTGTGACTTCCTTGCAAGCTTTTTGTTGCTTCCTGTTTTCCGTGTTTAATTCATGTCCTATAGGGGATATCAAGCTTATATAAAAAGAAATCTTCCCTCAGTTCCACAGATGATAAAAAATGCTGAAAAGAAACGCAGTGAAAACGAAACCAGTGTTACCTGCTTGCTGGACACTACTGTTTGCAATGGCTGTTGCGTTCTTTCTGTCTCTGTTTCTCGATTTCTGCACTGGGATTGCTGCGGGCCTTAAGGACCACTGGGAAATGATCCCTTTTCCAGCTCTGAGCCTGGTTTCTCGAGTACACTTGTCAAATTGGGCTTTCATACAACAATGCTTTTCAATTAACTCTGTTGCCTCTCCTAGAAATTCACAGAGAAAATTGACAGATGATTGACAAGAATGAGAATCTGTTCTAAAGAATTCCAATAGAGCGGAATCCTTTATTACTAAAAGAATGCTCAACTCAAGTGGACACAGATCCCTCATTTTGACTTCATTAGCTATGGCACTGAGAGACAAGTTTTTGAAAATACACAGCTAAAGCTGTCCGAGCTTTAAGTGCTGGTCAGTTTTTCAGAATACACAACTAAAACGGTCCATGCTTTAAGTGCTTTTGCACTTAAAGCAGGGAACGTTTTAGCTGTGTAGTTTGAAAAATGTGTGTGCTCTCCAAGGAATAAGCGACTTTTGTTGTTACTTTTGTTCCCCAGGAGAAATGGGAATCCTTTTCAGACAGCATGGGAGACACATGAGTCCTTCGGAATCCTCTTGTCTGCCTCTGAGGGTGCAATGAGGATGTGAAGCACTTTGGGAGGTGTGCAGACACACAGGTAGGTTTGCTACAGGGCAGAGCATCACCCTGGGGGTGTGCTCCTTGTCATCAAGAGCCCTGTCTGAACGAATTCATCACATTTCATATGAAAGCACGTTCTCCATTTCACTGTGCTGTTGCTTTTAATCAGAGTAGCCTCGACAATGGTTTCACTTGATAGCCATGAATAACGTTGTTCTATGTAATAACGTGTGGGCTTGAGGAGGAGTCAGCGTAGGATGAGACGGAGGGAGAATGGACGTGTGAGTTAGGGAAAGCTGTCTCTTCCTTTGGAGCATGGATGGGTTCAAAGCCCACCTCGAACTCAAAAGTATTTGGCTGAAAACTACCAGTTGTATATGAAGCCTGTGTGTGTGTGTGTGTGTGTGTGTCTGTGTTTGTGTGTGTGTGTGTGTGTGTTTGTGGGTGTGTGTGTGTGTGTCGGTGTGGGTTTGTATGTGTGTGGGTGTGAGTGTGGGTGTTTCTGTGTTTGTGGGTGTGTCTGTGTTCCTGTCACCAGACTTGAGGAGCAGATGCTTCTTCCTGCGGTAGCATGTTACTCAGAACCTTGGGGAACGTACAGCCCTCCGAAAACACAATCCATGTATGTTTNAGTGGCTAGGACTGGCCGCCACATTCAGCTACCGTTTATTTATGTTTTTTGTAGAAACAGGGTTTTGCCATGTTGCCCAGGCTGGTCTTGAACTCCTCAGCTCAGGCGATCCACCCTCTGTGGCCTCCCAAACTGCTGGGATTTCAGGTGTATGCCACCACGCCCAGCCAGATCTCTGACTTTTTATTTTTTTTTAATTTTTTTCCAGCCTATGTTAATCTTTTTATTGAATTAAGGCATTTAACGAATCTCTGACTTTCAGTTGGAGTGTTTAATCTATTTATAGTCAGTGTAATTACTGATAAGAAAGGACCTCTGTTATTTTGTTTAGGGTTGCCCAGGTTATGTCTTCCTTTTTCAGTTCCTTGTCACTGTCTTTTTTTTTCTTTTCCTTTAATTTTTCTTTCAGTGATGAGGGTCTTGCAATTTTGCCCAGGACTTGAACTCCTGGGCTCAAACCATCTCTGCCTTCCAAGTAGCTGGGACTACAGGCATACATCACCACATCTGACTGGTTTTTACATTTTTTTTTTTTTTTTTAGAAATAGGGTCTCACCATGTTGCCTAGGCTGATCTGGAATGCCTGGGCTCAAGCAGTCCTTCTGCCTTGGCCTCCCAAATTGCTGGGATTACAGGTGTGAGCCCCCAGCCCTTTCAGGCTAAATAATCTTTTTCTCTCTTTTTTTTTTTTGAGACAGAGTCTGGCTCTGCTGCCTAGGCTGGAGTACAGTGGTTTGATCTCAGCTCACTGCAACCTCCACTTCCTGAGTTCAAGCAATTCTCCTGTCTCAGCCTCCCCAGCAGCTGGAATTATGGGTGTGTACC